TATCAGTTGGTCTAATAACTAACACCGTTTAATTAAGGTCAGATAGCTTGATAATCACTGACAACTGAAACCTTGTCGATCTCCTTCATTCACGTTGAGCGCAATTCTTGTGGTTTAGGGGGATCAAAAGATCCTTTATATAAAGATATTGTGTAGTTCTCTGTTTTATTGGGGCATCTCACTCTTCACTGTAGAATATATCGTATACTGAAAGACGTCACACACACTACATTTGTCACAAAAAGTAAATCAATTCAACGTTAATTCGTCTTTAGAAACATAATAATTTGTTTAAAAAAAAATTGTTTAAGTAGTCGGGTTCTAGGTAATTTTCATTATTCATAATTGCAATTTTGCAGTCCTGTTCGTGAATATTTCAAACTTTATTATTTTTTGTGCAGTACTTCTTTGTGACCGTCTTCACTGTGTATTCCAAACGTTACATTTTTTGTATTTTCTCCCTGACTTACAGGGGCAGCGTGGGTATGACAACTCCGATATTATCGATAAAAACATCCTTGACAGCGATATGCTTGACGGCGGCATGAACCACCTCCATACCAGTCACCACCTCCCCGAAGGCACAAGCAAACTTCTTCCCCCTGTTCTCTCGCGTACAAATGTGGAAAAATGCATCTAATTCTGGTTTTCCGCCACTGGCTCCTACAACCAGCCCTTCGGTCTTCTCCTTGATGTACTTGCCACCCCACTCCAGATTTTCCATGAGACCGTTTACACTCGTACCTTCAGAGGTGATGTACTTCCCTCCAGCTAGAGTTTCCCCGGGGGCGCCTCGTTTCGCCACCCCGTGGAACTTGCTGCCCTGATAGGAAGGTCCCAAAGAACCCAGACACAGTGCCAAGAAGTGTTGTGCACGACGCAGCCGGCCCTCAAGGCGGATGTAAACACGGCCGATACTTCCGTTCTCGACACCTAAATCCAGGAATACTTCTGGTTTCTCACGAGACACCAGAGTCTGAAGGAGAGACATCTGTGGGGAGAGAATAATTTTATTAGTATCATACACGGTACCTATGTAACAGTACCGTATTATAATCCTGAATGTAGATCAGGTCCAAAGTTCAGAAATACCCTTCTGGTCTCTCACGTCACATAGGTGACTGCCGGAGGCACATGAGTGGGAGAAAGATAGGATTTATATTTATAATATTTCACACAGTCCCAGGTTACTATTAAAGGATCATCACATCATAGTAAACTAAACATAAGGGCGATGAGTGAGAGCGTGAAGTGAAGTAAAATATTAGTGACGAGAATAAAAAGATCAGATTCACTCTTTTCTTCGTCTCTCTTTCAAGCTACAAGTGTCTATTACAATCTCTCTCTCTCTCATATATATATATATATATATATATATATATATATATATATATATATATATATCTTTCTCTCTCTCTCTCTCTCTCTCTCTCCTCACCTGGACTAGGAGATGGGCCTCTGTCAGGTTTTTTGTAAGAGCATACAAGTGGAGTCGTTTTCGTTCCCACCTGAGGCGGCCTGTCCGACCTTCCCCGTCAACGACACTGCAGTGAAGTGGCCATGGAGTTCTTAAGTTCTTAACAGATATCTTTTCAACGCCTTCTACAGTCACGTCCTCTTGAACACTGTTGCTCCGGCTTATGGTCCCTTCCATGAATGCCTCCTCCTTGCTAGTCTTCGGCTTCGAGTCTACTGGGATATCCGAAGAGGACCCCTGACCAAGGTCTTCATGAACGGTTGTCTGTTCCGTTTCCTCCAAAGGTATTTCCTGCCACTCCACCTCGGAGGCGGATACCTGACGAGGGAGACCAATGGTGGCCTCCGTCTCACTACAGGACTTACATCTTTGTTTTCCAGCGCCAGTGATCTCTTCCGCCCGCTGGGCCGAGTGTTTCAGGATCTCCCCTTGTAAGCTCTCCATCAAAGTCGAGGACATCAACACAGAGTCGATGCTAAAGATATTCCCAGCGTCCTTCACTATTTTCTCGACTTTCTGAGTTGAAGAACAGAGGATTTTACTTTCTTCAGCGCCTTGGGTGATCTGGACAATGAAATTAATTATATTGCCGACTATAGTGTCTTTTCTTTCGCGTATTTTCTGGACTAATTGAGCTCCCTGAGCGTGGATTTCCATTTTTCTCTCCTCAATAAATATTTTAGCTTTCTCAACGTGGTGGCCATCTCGAACATGAGCCTCCAGAAGGCAATGTCCACATAGTGCCTCTTGGCAACCGCGACACCAGAACTCCAGAGGTGATCCGTGGTCCCCACATCCTCCTCGCTGCAGGTCCACAAGTGCCATCGGAAAAATTAAGAAAATATAAGAAAAAACATGACATATTTGGTATTTGCAAAGGCATCTGAAACGCCTTCCACCCCACCCTTCGGGGAGGGGACTCGCTAATCTTCAAATCCTGACCCGAAACCAGATCCCAAATTTCAATAGTAAAACATGGGTTTGGTTAGGTTCAATCCTTTATACAGCCCAGGACCGAATTTCTTGATACACTTAAAGTGGAGGATGCAAAGTCTGCCCCACCCTTACTAGACGGCGCGGCGGGTCGCTGTCCGGCAATCGTCCCCAATTAGCACCCGAGCAGTTCAGCAAGCGAGCTTTGATAATTCCATTTCTCACTAAGGACTGGGAAAGGATGTCATTGTTTTTTTTTTTTAATAAATTCACGAAACAATTGACCCAACCATAAGTTCAACAGTGGTTTGCGAGGCAGGACAACCTCGGGCACGTGTGGGCATACATGGTCAACACGTGGGAGATGGAAGAGGAACGGCAATCATCTTACGATGCATATTAACAGACAGTGAGAATACTACAAGGGTAGTCCCGAACCTACCTAACCTAACCAAGAGGTCGTTATTGAAATTGAGGGCGGCTGGACTGGCTACTGAATGAATAATTTTCATGTCAACATGTGTTATGTAGAATTTCTGTAAAAGAAAGAAAATATTGTTAGAATTAGTGCTTTACTTTTTTTTAACTGTAAATATTTCAAAGGATATTGAGTCTATATAGCAACATTTACGGTTGCCTATATAACTAATAATAAAATATTGTCTTGCTGTTTTTACCATATTTTTCCATCAAACTCTAATCAATGGTGTTGTGACCTACTTCTTGTTGTGACACACTTGTATATTAATCGTGTCGCTCACATGTCATTTATACTCCCATCACGTCATTCATTGTAAGGGTGAAGCCTAGGTAACGTGCATTATCACGGAGGGTAATAAAGTATTCTCTTATGAACCATATTATCCCTTACATTCATGCTTTGTAAACTGACTACCATTCTGAGGGAAATACAGCTTGGAGGATTCTGACATCATCGTTGTGAACCCCCGCCGGCAAGACACACACACACTTTCCACTATGTCTTTTGTATTGTAAAGAATATGTCATGATTATCTAACAATGATCTAACCTATTGCATCAAATAATGTAAAACTTGATTGGGGAAATCGTTTCGTGAATTTATTAAATAAAGAATTTACGTCCATTCTCAGTCCCTAATGAGAAAGGAAGTATCAGATCTCGATTACTGAACTGCTTGGGTACTTGTTTGTGTGTTGGGGACGATGGACAGCGATGAGTGGGGCCACTGCTTAATTTTTTTTCCAAATATTGACAAATTTGCACCAACCTTGGAAGCTTGAAAAAAAGAATTGTAAACCTCCCATATATAGAAAATGTCTTGTTTTTTTCTATTTGTTATTATTTTTATGTATTGATACTTATGAATCATAGTTAACTTAGATATGACAATGTTCTTTTGGCACTTAGTTTGCTAAGTATTTTGGCACCCCTGGGTCCGTGAGTCGCCAATTTCGCGCATCTAAACAACGTGAATCTCCCTTCTTATATTTTGAAAGAAATACTAAATATTTTTTTAGTTGCAACAGTGTAAAATCAATAATTAGAATTAATTATTTAGCTGGCTATACAAAACCATTAACAAATCAACTTGTTTAGGTATTTTACCGAGATTGAACTTTACTTTAGTTTCTTCTCAAACCGCTCAAGGAATACATTTCGTTTTCTTTTGTAATGCAGAATACTGAGTGTCTATTTTCATTTAATTATCTATTATATTCGTGTATATTGTATATGTTTTGTACATTCCGTAGAATTGTATTAAAAATAAAATAATTGTAATTGGATATAATTTTGTCAAATAAATTTATTTAGTGATCTGTAAAGATTCAGACACGAATCTGATAAACCCTTTTTTTTGGTTTCCACAAGTGGCATCACTGATAAACGACCCGCCGTCCAGCAAGGGTGGGACTAACTTTGCACCCTCTACCTTGACTGTATCAAGACTTTCGGTCCGTGATTGTGCGGATAAGGTGGGGTTAGATTAGGGATACATTAGATCAATTACATTAGGTGGTAGGCTAGGTTAAGTTACATCAGAGGTAAGCGTTTTTGGTTAAGGGTAGGTTAGGTCAAGGTATAAAGATCACAAGGTATGCTCACGCCTGATGTCATCCGGCAGGGCCTCACCCCGCCAACCAGCTTTGATTTGTATGTGAGAAATGGGTAGGACTAAGCCATGTTCATATTTTTCTGTAGTTGTCTTATTTTAGGATATAAGCTTCATGGTCTTAAAAAAATATTTCACTATTATAATGCTACGAGAATTATGGTAAACAATATGAAATTATATCGAAAATATTTTCAACCCCAAGACGACCCCAAGATGTCTAATTATTAATTTACACGACTCTCTCTCTCTCTCTCTCTCTCTCTCTCTCTCTCTCTCTCTCTTTCTATATATATATATATATATATATATATATATATATATATATATATATATATATATATATATATATATATATATTTCATTTGCCCAATAAAGCACACGGACTTCGAGTCCTGGCGGGTTGAGGTGTTGATTGTATGTAGAAGTCCGTTTGCTTTATTGGGCTAATGAAATATATATGGATCCTCGTGTTTCGAAGCCGGATTTGGTAAAAAGTTACTCAAACCACCTACGTGATACGGGTAGTCCCCATTAGAGGTTCACGGCGCCTTAAGCTCGTTGAACAGGCTTTGTGTGAAATATAACAAAGTCTAGGACTGCTTTTAGTATCCTGGTGGTCCAGCAGATAGCGTTCCCCGGTCACAGTCATGGGCTTGTGGGCCGTGGGTTCGAATCCTGGCGGGTTGAGGTGTTGATTGTGTGTATATATATATATATATATATATATGTAATATTCAGAAACTTCAGTGTAATTTCAAACGCTGCGCCATTGGCGATACTGAGTTTTCAAGGTCGTCTGAGAGAAGAGAGCGCTGCTGCACGTAGTGAGAGGTTTTGGAACTAGGCCTATACGATATTGAATGTAGTTTGCCGAATTAATAATGATGCAATTCATGAAGTTAAGGGACTATGATTAAATTTGAAATTATTATAGATCGTTTATCAGTCTGAATAATGTTACTGGTGTCCCAAGAAAGTTCTTAGTCAGGCGGAAAATATGTCACCAAGGCCTAAGCTAACGCCTTGGGAAGACGCAAGGCTGGTTGGTTCTCAGTCACGGGAAAGCGATCAGACCAACAGGACGTCCCTGCGCGTCCGTCCACAGAAATAGTCACGTGGTCTAGTCACCTGTGTTGCCCTATTGCAGTATAACAAGTAAGTCCCATTCGATCTCAGATAGGGGTTAGATAGGGCAGTGATAAAGTTATTAAGAGCTAACAGTGAGTTAATTTCAGGGTTTCCGTCAGAACCCACTTGACTGCGAGAGTGATGACTGCTAGAGATTGACTGCCGTTTGAGACTGTCGTTGATGATTGATGATTAGCGACTGTCGCCGTTGGAACGATCAGTGCAGGCATTCTTACTGGTTAGCGGGGTAGCAAAGGATCTCTTGAGTGAACGAGTGCTCCAGACAACTAAAACGACAAGGGACCAGCATCAGCAGTGGGTGATCAGCTCTTACCGCGTGGGTGCACAACACCACATGTCCTCGGTCAGCTAGAACTATTACCTACTGGCCATAGTTACCTGCTGGCATTCTCTCTTCCTGCCCATGGACGTACTGGGAGTACACTGAGGCTATCTGAGTAAATTAATGGTCACACCCTGAGACCAGGAGTCTAGGGGATACCTAGAGAAACATTTTATCTCCCTTATTACAGGTGTATGGTGAGTTGGGTGAAGCATGGTTCAAGGGTATTGGTGGACCCAGTAACATCTCTATAATAGTGATAATATATTTGTGTGTAGCTAATACCATTGTTTGAGTTACTGACATTATCTTGACGTGTGTAGTTTAATATTTCTTAAATAATTTTGATCGTATTGTTTTTTAAATGCTGTGTCACTAATTGAAACCAGAGTGATACTGTGATTTAGTTCCTTTAATGCATTAAATTTTCTTTATAATTCCGATCTCAGATATAACCTTTGTTCCCCAGGGTAGTGTTTAAGTTAGGTTAAGAAGTGTGCATCTGTTGGTGTAACATAATTCTATTGAGTGCCCTTTAGGCCTATTCAGGGTGGAATTAATAATTTCTTATTTTTATGCCATTTCCGCGGTGGTGGACATTATTTTGTGAAAACTGTAGGTTATGTATCTATGCTACTGTGCCGAGTAGCAACCTTGTAAATAAGCTTCTGTGACGAGTAGCATTTATATATGTAATTACGTGGCAACACTGCACATGTTATGTGGCAACATTGCCCCGAGGCTGCCATATGGCAAGGCAGTCTCAGTCTGATTCTGTGGGTCGTGCAAGTCACACGCTAGTCACCACTTGTATTTCTCCTATCCGTTAATAATTGGACTTCAGTGTTACCTGGGGTTTCCCTACCCATCACTGCCTTCTTCAGGGAACACTTGGAACCTTCAAAAACCCTTAAGGAATGTTTCATGTGTACAAGCAACATTTCTTAATACTTTAAATTTATTGTTGTCTAATGAGGCATTGTCTGAGTTTCTAATAATTGCAATATTATATATAACTTTTATTCCCCAGAGTAGTGTTTTAAGTTCAGGTTAAGAGGTGCGCATATGTTGGTGTACCATTATTTGATTGTGTCTGTAGTGTTGGAGGGAATATAAGTGTCTAACTTTTACAGTGTGTCTCATTCATCCCAGTCACAGACGGTATCCTTCCACGGGTCACGGACAATTTATTTTGTTTAGTAAATTTAAGTGTTCTTGTGCTGGTTCGGGATTTTTCTCAAAGGGGCGCTCCCACAGCAATTTCATCTAATAATCTTTAATAAACCCCAAGTCAAGTGAGAAATT